ATGTCTGTGGTGTAGATAGCTTCTTGTTGGAGCTGTTTTTCTTTTGTTTTCTTTTTCTTGCGTGCTTACCTTATTTGTTGTTACTTTTTGATTATTTAGGAGCTGGCCATAACTTCTGACGAGGCATTGAGTTTGGAAGATTTGCCTAAGCGTGCAGTGGTGTTTGGTGGGGGGTAAACTCTCCAGAAGGCTTTGCTATCTATGTGTTTTATTTGCACATGTTCTAGCATGTGCATGATTTTGGATAAATATTTTTTTTCTTGCTCAGGTATATTGCTGTTGAGTTTGCTTCAATATGGCGTGGCATGGGTGCTACTGTGGATCTATTTTTCAGAAAGGAACTTCCACTAAGGTTATGATTAAGGCCTTAGTGTTTGTTTTTTCTGAATGACCAAGATGGTGTCATATATTAGCACACACAATGTATGTTTGCAAGTAAACTGTGTAAAGAATATGTTATCAAATGGGGTTACTCTTTTAATGTTTTCTTGATGATTACTTCCTGCTCTGAAAAACTCCTGGCCGGAATAGTTTGAGTTTTAACTTGTCCACAGCATTCTTCACGTTTTTCCCTTATATATTGGTTAGGATTGGAACTTATAATCTAGCAAAATTTGATGTTTCATAGTTTAAGTGGCGATTGACATTCAAGTATGTTACTGTAGTTTTGTATTATGCTATTAAAGTGGTAATTTTAATTTGCCATCTGCACACATTGTCACTAAGGAGTCGTGTGGCATTTTTGGTCCTAGCATTTTGAAATCTAGACCACAGTTGTGTTTCTCCTGCCAGTATATCTGATAGCTATCTAGTGCAGGGGTTTTGATGATGAAATGAGGGCCGTGGTTGCAAGAAATCTAGAAGGCAGGGGAATTAATTTGCATCCAAGAACAAATTTGACAGAGGTACTCTCTCTTTTATTAGAATTTGGTGTCATTATTTCATGCGTTGCTTTTGTTTCAAGCTATTTTTTTTCCTGGATTTTGTAATTTGTTGCTTTTTTTTTTTCCAGTTTATGTTTTGACCTTTCTATGTTATTTATGGTGAACCTTATTGTAAATACAGTTGACTAAAACAGAGGAGGGAATAAAAATTTACACCGATCACAAAGAGGAGCTGCTGGCAGATGTTGTACTTTTTGCCACTGGTAATAACAATCCTTGTTTAAATCACACACATTGTGAAGAAGTTCCATTATTAAGCTTGAATCGTAAATAGAAAGCATGCACTGCCATTTCCAGTCTGTGCAGAACCAGAATGTAATCGTTGGGTAAAAAAGAAATTTACACTTGTTTTTTACTTGGTAGGTTCGTTCTGTCTGAACTTAAATCCTTTCTAGAAGTATTTGGTATTTTACTATTTTTCGGGGTTAACTTGTCCACATTTCTAGAGCAGTGTTGCCAGTACCATGGATTGATATGTTGTTGAAATGGTGATGTGAATGTTTGGGGACTGAAGATGCATTTTATGAAGGCTTACAAGATTTTGGATTGCTAAAGCAGAATGCAATAGGTTTACTGTAGAACAGGAATGAGAATTTGAATTTATAATTTATGTATCTCATGAAGTGATTAAAATGATAGTAGTATAGAAGATAATAAGTATCCATGTTAGAATGAACATTCCAAATTGAAAATCATTGAAGTACAGGTATTTAAGGTAACAGGCATTGGTTTTAGGAGCCTCAATAAAAAAAAAATATCATGCCTTTTCTTGTGTTTGTTATTATTGGTTGACATAATCACCAATGTTTGTTTTGTCAAAAAAATTTGTTCACTATTCATGATGATGAAGTTATTGATATTCTTCTCTCAATTTTTATAGGTAGAGCTCCCAATACGAAGAGATTAAATTTGGAAGCTGTAGGCGTTGAGCTTGATAATGCGGGAGCTGTGAAGGTCAGTAACTTCAGTTGTCATTGTTTTAATCATTGAGCATTATGTTATTAGTGCACAAACTGCAGATGCCAATTTCAGTGTTATTATAGTCGTTTTGTTTTCTACATTCACTTCCTTGTAGATAGGTATTTATCACACATGCTGCTGGTTGTGGGATATGGGATAATTTTATTGTATTCCTGATATATGTGTAATTATTATTCTATAGTAATTTTTCCTTACACTCCATCATGTATGGCTGATATAGAATAATTTTTGGCGAGTTCTGTCTATTGATGTGTTTGTGTATGAAGAACGTAAATCTTGAGTAAAAAGGCTAAACCTGATCAGAAGATGTCTCTGGAGATCCCTGCCATTGTGTTATGGGGTGGGGTTGTATAAAACATGAAAGTGAACTAAGAGGCGAGTTATGGAAGTGCATGTATATGCCATGTTGCATCTGATTGATCAAAGGGGCATTGATTACCAGCAAGGTTAAAAACACATGACCTTCATTAGGTTTCTCACTATGTAGAGAATATCTTCTGTTATGACTGTATTGAAAGACCTAGCCGTTGAGACCATATTTGCTTTGTTTCTCGACCATTTTCTTTATTATTGTGTTTTTGTTGTTATTATTCTTTTTTTATGCTATTTTCTTGTTTTTTATCCACCATGTAAAAGAAACTATATTTTCAGTTACACTGAAAATCTTGTTCACATTTCTACAAGTCATGTAAAATGACTGGGTCCCTGCTACTTTCTTGGATCAGGTTGATGAATACTCTCGCACCAACATACCTACCATATGGGCTGTTGGTGATGTCACAAACCGAATGAATCTGACTCCTGTGGCCTTAATGGAGGGAACATGCTTTGCAGTATGTGTGTCTTGTGATCTGCTTTTCGTTTCTTCATATTCATATCAATTTTTGTTTGCTCCTCCCCCCTCCCTTTTTGGCAATCTTGCAATTCATTTGATTTTCAGTGGATCTGTTTCTGATGTATTGCATGCAGAAAACTGTTTTTGCAGGGCAACCTACCAAACCAGACTACAATCACATACCATGTGCTGTATTTAGGTATCTGCTGTTGGATTTGCTTTGACTGTTCATTTTCTTCCAAAATATCATTTTTGTATTATGCTAGTAGCTTTTTCAGTTAAATGAAAATACCATCATTGATAAGAAATATAGTGGTTACTGAAAGATTTTAAAATCAAAACTCATTAACCCTCGCCTTGAATTGTAGAAGTTTAGCTCATTAACATACAGTAACATCGTGCTGCTGCTTCAATGCAACTAAGTCTTCCACCTTAAATGTAGAAGTTTAAGCTTAATAGAAAATCTAGTGCTTGTGTTCATCGTTCTTCATTGGTAACTTGTGATATTTGGTAATCTGCAGCATACCTCCTCTCTCTGTGGTGGGCCTCAGTGAGGAGCAGGCGTTAGAGCAAGCAAATGGTGATGTATTGGTTTTCACTTCGACTTTCAACCCTATGAAGAATACAATCTCTGGGTATGTGCTGAAATTTGAAATCTTATTTGCTAAATAGGTCTGTATTATTACAAACAAACATAGCATTATGGAATTCTTGAGAACATCACTCACAAAATGACAAATAAATAAGAGGTCAAAACACAATATTTGTAAACTTAAATTGGCCGGGTAGAGATTATCTCTCAAGAGGTCTTGGACATTTTCTGCGCCTATAACTTTAATGCCGTAAATCAGATAGACTTTGAACATCCTTACTTTTTGATAATAGTCATTCTTTTGTCATGAAACCAAAATTTACTGTTGCTTTTAAACTGAATTTCTCTGGTCTGGATAGGAATTTTTTAGGATTGAGTTATGTTTATGAACAATGATGAAGGACATGATAAAATCATCAAAGCCTTGGGAATATATGGATTGGGATGTTCTCTCTCTGATCGGTGGGGTAATATTTGAGCACCTGCCTCGTTTTACTCAAATTTGGTGAGGCGGGATCTGTGTCTTATGCATCCCAAGGCTTTTGGTGCTTAAAACATCTGTGAGCTTTTCAGTTTGATACGCATGTTCTTATCTTTGTTTCCAGACGACAAGAGAAGACGGTAATGAAGCTTGTTGTTGATGCTGAGACGGATAAGGTTCTTGGAGCTTCCATGTTTGGGCCAGATGCACCTGAAATCATGCAGGTGTGCGTATTTTCTGATTCGTTAGGCATACCCATCCTTAAGTTTTCTGCCCCCTGTACTTTTTGTTATTCATGCATGTTCTGATCATTGTTTCTTGGTTATCATCTTCTCAGGGTATTGCTGTTGCGCTGAAGTGTGGAGCGACAAAGCAACAATTTGACAGTACTGTAAGTACCAAGTAGCTTTCCTTGAGAGAGGGGCTAGACATGAGGATGTTAGTGATTCTTTCCATTCCTAACATCCCCTTGTCAGGCTCTCTTATAATGACCATGCATGTTCTTATTTTGCCACCTCTCCCCCGTAATTACCTCATTTAATGAACGTAGAAGGGATAGCCATCTTTATACTTTTAGATTTTTATGTTCATGTATAAAGTTCTTTACGGTGGCATGTGTTCAGCTGGTGACGTGGCAAACCATCACTGGCCGTTCCCTCATTTTCGATTTGTGTATTACTGAGGAGGTTTTTTCGTTTGTTTTCCACAGGTGGGAATACACCCTTCTGCTGCTGAGGAATTTGTGACCATGCGTTCAGTGACTAGACGCGTTACTGCTGGTGGCAAACCAAAGACAACAAATCCGTAAAATCATCAGCAGAAAAAGAAAATCCAAAAATGATAAATTGCTTGAATTCAGCTTTCGCGTGTTCATCGGAAACTATTTCATGCTAGCAAGTGCAAGAAATAGAGGCAATTAGGGTGAGGCTATGACTTTGGCTATGACTTTTCAACCCAATAAAAGTTCACGTCATGATAAGTATTGTATGCCTGGCAGTTCAGATGCTTCCATGGAAATGATTATTATTATGTTTTTTTAACCGAAGTACTTAGATGTTACCTTTGACTTTTTTTTCTCTTATTAAATATGGCATCCGCCTTTTTTATGGTTTTGTGAATGTTAATGTGCATTGTTTAATGTTCATGAAGGTAGGCTGTAACAGCAGCTTGCATAAAGAATTTGATGATGTCGATTATGGATGCTGTATCCTGGATCTATAATACAAGGCTCTTGCTGCATGTAAGATTAAGACCTGCTTGTATACAGATATATCAAAAAAGTATCCGCTATACCTAAATTGTTGTTTTTCCTTCACACACATCACATATTGTATACCCTAGGCCTTCACAGTAAGGACAATTTGCTCCTTCATTAACCCATTCCAAAAACTGCAGCATAGATTTTGATTGTGAGGATGTTGACATGGAAAATAGTAATAAAAAAATATGAAGGACGTGTGTATGTGAGAGGTTTTCGTACCTGGGGCTCCACGTTTGGCTCGCCAGTACCATCACATTCTGCAACAGAAAATCACTAATAAGCGAGTAAGCTAAAAGGTTAAATTGATTGATGGTTGCACCAGCTGCCATTACATTGCCAGAAAATCTTAAACCATTTCCAGAGCCCAGGCTGCTGTATTTGCAGGCAGTGGGATATCTAACCAAATCAGGCAGTGAGGAATGCTACTATAAATGAATTGCCAGCCGGTTAAACTATTTTTCTGCCCCTTGAATGTATTTTAATATATTAGGTACTCTCAGCTACGGACAAAAGCAATAAACAGGAGAAATATGATTTCAGTTCGTCATGCCTGGTTAATACAATCAGATAAAATGATACTCTATTCATAAATATGGATGTCCAATCCAGGTAGTGGCAACCAATTTACCTGTGCACAACAAACGACCCTCCCCACGACATGTAAGGCACTGTTTTGTGGAATCCTTCGTTTTGCCCCCACTAACTTGTTTCTTTCTGCCATTAAGTCTAGAAGGTTCTTCCCAACGATTCTCCCCCAGAAGAAATACTCTATGATGCGATACCTCAACTTCTGTTGCTTCTTCTTTCACAACTTTCTGATGTATTTCTGAGATTTCTGTTACCGACGTAACAGCAGCTCCATCAGAACCTTCCTAATGTACAGTGGATTTGAAGTCAGCAGCATATTTTGAAATTTCACAATCTCAACGCATGTATTCTCAGTGTTCTTGCTAACCAGGGATCACTTGGAATGATATCTAAAACAATAAATATTCTGCTCATCAAAATTCCAAGCATGCTATCATTGCCGAAAGCATCTGTGAAAAAGGACAAATTTACTGGGATATGCATCCATCAGCACACATACACTCGAGTTATATACTAACAACCCATTAAACAACGATAGATTACAAGTACAAAATTTTACGCTATATAGGACTAACAAGCAAGCATAAGCATTCAGTATTGTAAGAATATCACAATAAGAGCTCATACATGGCATGTCCACCTTTTATTCAGTATGGTTACAAGCATAGTACTAGAAACAAGGGCTTTAGTTTGACCTGGCTACTTCAACAGTGTAACTCCAACATGGAACGCTTATGATTTTTTAAAAGCAAGACATTTCTTTCAGATTTCTGATTAAAAAACTAGAAAGAGAGCCAGTGTTTGTGTTGTTCAAAAACAAGACTAGAGCATTTCCTGTCCTTAAAGTCACCCGTTCAAATGTAAATCAAGGGGATTATGCATTTGAAACAGAAACTAAGCACAACTTTTATACAATATCAGTCCCGATTATTTTATTGCTAAAAATATCATAATCTGCATGTACCTCTGCTGGAACAGTTTGAGCGCTTCCCTTTTGAGTTTCGCTAATACTTGAAATCGGAGCATCAATATGTTGCTCCATATATAACCTTTTGAGGAGCTCTGTTGTCATTATTCCATCTTCAGAGGCACCTAAAGATGCCTGTCAACCAAGATCATATGTTATCTATCAAAAACTGATCAATCGAACTATCCACTTAAACTATTAGCCACAAGCTAAGAGACCACCAGGATTTTAGAGAAAACAGCATGTGCATATGCATTCATGTACATTTTCCATGTACGAGGGAATGATATAATCAACCCGCGTGACATTTATTTCTGTCCATTTTGAGGTACCACAAGGTGGAAATCTAAAAACTTACTTGCCAGGTCTTCACAGCACGTTCAGTACCACTTGAGAAGCTAGAATATTCCATGTCTTCTTCCCCTGAGTAAAATCCCAATTTTTGCAAAGCGTCCTGTAACAATCAGAAAAAGGTACGAAATATATCAAAATACAATACACAAGCTTCGAATATCACCACTACAACAAATATTAAAAGAAAAAAATATATATGTAAAAAGCAGCACTCATATCATGCATTTGATAAACAATTCAAGTAGTGCACATTGTTCTCCAAGCCTAATAATAATAATAATAAAAGAAGAAGAAATGAAATTTAGTTAGTAAAATAGAGAGTAGAGTCAGACCTGCATCTCTTTTACTTGTTTTCCTTCGCTTCCTTTCCTTAGGGTTTTCCTCTCCTTCTCCTTCTTCTCCTTCTTCTCCTCCAAAACCCTATCAATCACTTCCTTCTGTTCTTCCACCACATTCTCCTCCAACACAAGAGGTCTCGCACTGGACCCACTCTCTGCAATCAAACTGTTATTATTCTTGTCCTTCAAAACCTGCAGTAACAGCCCTACTTTAGCTACCGTATCCTCTCCTCCTTGAAGGACTGAGATTCGATTCTCTAGTGCTTCGATTTGAAGCTTTAAGGATTGTATTTGAGTGAGGAGCGATTCTCTGTCGCGGCTCCACCGCTTCTCTTCACGGAGCCACCGTTCCTCTTCACGTAGCCACCGCTGTTCCTCTCGGAGCCAAAAGGATTCCTCTCGGTCTGGATTAGAAGAGAAGCAGATGTAATGAGGTTTTGAAAGAGTAGAGCCTGAGATTGGTAGTACTGTTGTGTGCTTGGAGAATTGGAGTGGAGAGAGTGTGCTGTGAGATTGCTTGTGGGGGTGAAAAGGTTTAGGATTTAGAGAGAGGGGAAAACTAGAGGAAGACATTCTCATCATCGTTATTATTAGATTTTTGGGATATAAAATAAAATGAAAAGAGAAGGAGAGAGAGAAGAAGCCGGACTGCAAAGAAGATTTTTTTTTCTGCTTCTTCAAAGTTTGAACCACACGATTTAATCAGAACAACGACAGCTGGCTGGCGGGAAGATAAAAACACTATCTTTTTTTATTTACAGCTTACACTTTCTCGGCTTCGATATTTTCTGTCTGGGAATTAGGAACATTGTTTCCTATCAGGCCCCAAGCCCATTAAAAATTCTTCAGACCGAGTAACGTAATATTTACAGTATTGCTAAAACAATCATATAATTGCTAAGCTCAGTCAGTAGCCCATCAGTCTTTCCACCAGTCTGTCCGAGTTGAGTTTTATTTCATCTTGGCTTCAAAGTCGCCATGAATAAAATAGTACTTAGAAATATAATAGCAATTGTTTTCTTAAATATTTGTAAAAAGATCTAAAGCTTAGTTTGAAAAACAATTAAACGTAAAATAAACTAGGAGAAGAAGTTAAAGTGTAAAACAACAAAAAGCAACATTTTATGAACTTAATTTGAAGATCTATGGGTCTTAACTAGTTACAACGATCAATTCTTTTATAGAATTAAGATTAAACAGTAAATTTAATAGTTATCACGGTTAGAGAAGTACTTACAAATATAACAGCAATTGTTTTTTTTAATATATTTAAATAATATTTTTAAAAAATTAAAACAATTTTTTTAAAAAAAATTCAGAAATGCCTGAACGCAATTTTTTTCATGCTAGCATCCTCTTATTCACCAAATACATGCATGCACACTATGAGAAACAACTTCAACGAAAAACAAATAAATAAATAAGATTGCTTAATGATTGTTGTTCCACATTTCGTCCCCCCAAAAAGGTTACCGTGTCCTACTGTATACGAATGGAGTTTGCATCAACCAACAGGTTTTCTTGAAAGCCTTGTCCCTTGATCAATGTAGCTAATGGGCGCCTAGAAAGCAAGCATCTGATTCACTAGAGCAACCTTTTCAAGACAACAGAACAACCAAGGAATAGGTTTACGACAAGAGATATACAAATAACCCATTGGATGTGGGCTCGATGGTACCCTTAGGCAGTAAAAAGATCTACCGGACTCCTTTCGGCTTAGTCAAGCTTAACGTTGGAGTAGAGAAGGGTGTCCCTGGCGATTGGCATATTGAGGAGATAGTAGATCTGTGGCAATGAAAAGATTAACAAAGAAATTATTTTTATATTGCAGCAAAAATGAATTGAACTTCTAGAAAAAAGTTAACAGAGTCCCCAGTTTGGTCTGAGATCTCAACCAAATTGTTCTGAGATGCTAACACTGATAATTTAAAAATAAAAAAAAAACTACAAGTTTACTGCAGAATTTACAAATTAAGATGTGTATTCTTCTGACATCTCATCCAAAAAGAGAGTATATAAAGTTAACCTTCCATTAAGTTTGTCTGAAACCCTTCTTTTTAAGGGTATGCCTATGAAATATATTGATTTAAGAGATTCATGTAAGCTATCATGTTTAAAGATATTCCTTGTTAAGTGAAGGGATTAATAAAGCTCACTGGTGAAGAAAACATTTGGCAAAGACATTTGAGTAATGAAATTGAAAAGAAAAAAAATCTGCCGGTTTTAAATTGGCATGGATAGTTCTTTTCTTTGATAGCTTGTCCAGGTGTAATCTCACACGATGAATAACTGTTCTATCAACAAAACTTATAAGAGCTGTGAATCAGGCACACTGCAGAATCCTAGTCCTAAACTCGGCAATGTCACAAAAAATATGGATCATTTGTCTAGATTATTCTAGAAAAAGGTTCAAGGATAGGATAGTTATTCAACCCACCCCCTTCCTTTTCCTTCTCTAAACCTACAAGTCAAATGCAATGCATCTCATTATTTTACCAGTAAGCAATCAAGATTTTTTTCTGCTTACAAAAAAAAAAAAAAAAAGAGGGAAGGTAAAATATAGATAACGAAAAAAAAGGGGAAGGAATAGGGAACAGGAGCGCCTTAGAGATGTTAATTAGCTCCATTTGCAGTGTTCCTAAATTAATTAGAGGGGAGAAAATAAGGAGAAAGGTTTTTGTTGTTAGATAATCTTACCCCCAAAAGAGTAGCAATGATAAGAACAATTCCAGTTATCCAAGCAAGGGTCATTCTAACCAAGACCACTTCTGCAATGGTTCCATTGCCAGGTGTTTTTGTTTCTTCCAACCAACGTGCAGATGGCTGGGAAGTCAGCATGACATCCAGCACTGTTTCTGATTCTGATGCAGGTGCGGTGTTAAAAAAGATTACTCCAGCAATTTGACCTGCCCAATTATCATTGGTTTTTGTAATACAACCATAATTTTCAGGCACAGCAATATGCTAAGAAACAAGAATTACTAATGGAAAAAAAAACGCAAAATTTCCTCATAAATATAGGGGCAGCAACATCTATGAGAGACCTGCAAAGTTAGTTTAAATTCTACTTTTTTGTCGATTTAAAGACCCTGACATTGATATAACCAAAATAAGACATCTACAATTGGGTAAATGATTGGAAGCACTAATAAAAAAACTAGGTCACTACTTTTTCCACCCATCATTTACATGGAAACTACAACATTAGAGCTTAAGATTGTGTTGGTGATTTCCCAAAAACCCAAAAAACCAACCTTTGTAAGCTGTTTGCAATGAATCAAACATCTTGGACAATGTAGTAAGTAATAGCTCCAGCCCTTTCTGTGCAGCACCCTCAGGTCCATATTGCTCTCCCAAAGCCTGTGATGTGAAATAAAATAAGTCATGAGCTAACTGCTTTCTAGTTGGGATTATTCTCTTGAAAGATTGGGGCAGAAAATAACAGAAAAAATTTGCATTCTGAACTTGGAAGATGTGGTGCAAAAAAAAATGTATGAATACCGAATAAATGATAAACCATAACAGAATCAATCAATTTTATAACTTTTCTATCATGATAAGCAATATGATTTCATTAAATGAAGAAATGAATCAGTGAAACGCGGCAACTCACAAACACTCGAAAGGATGCAATCAAGATCATTATACATCACCCAAATCACTATATAGGATTCTATCGGAAACGCTCTAGAATTGCTTCCTTTTTTCCATAAATTCACACACCAGTTAAATAAGATGATCGTTGTGATATTGTTTCCTAAATTTCATTGCAATAAACACAGTCGTTGTCCAAATAAAAAATGAAAAAAAGAAAACACTAAGAACCAAAATTAGAAGCTGTTTGTTTGTATTCAGAGACTTTATATGCTCTTTCCTACAAGAGATTATTAGATACTCCCGGTCACTCACCCACTCACATAAGTGTGGGATCCATGGTTAGTTATCAAGGTGAGTCTCACTTTAATGAGACAAGGACCAGTACACCAGGAGTTTTTATTTTTCTCCTTCCCTACTACATAAATTCTATGCTGAAGTAGATGATACACGAAAAATATTCAGTAAGAAATAGAAACGGATATTGTCACCTTGAGACCATCAAAACAGCCCTTCAATAACTCTGCAGGTGGTTGAGTGCTCTGCGACAAATCTTCATGCATCTCTACTGCTCTTCTACTATTGTGGAACAGAGCTAGAAGACTTGCTATAAACTCCCTGTTTGCTTTCTGCAAACAATCAAAATCCAACCTTCTAATAAAAATCTGAAATTTATAAAATGAATGGTTCAATCTAAAATACAAAAGGTTGCGAATAATAATAAAAGACCTTAGACATATGAAAACTTGTAGTGGCACCGCTAGCCAGTGGGATTGCTAACTCTCCATTCCATGCTTCCAAAGGATCAACAACATATGATCCACCCAACCAAGATGCCTAAACAAACACATAATGCCAAAGTCATACATTTAAGCTAAATGATCAATGACTAAAAAGAGATCAATAGCACAGAAAAAAAAAGAAATAACTGGGGGTAAATAAAAGTCAGGGCTTACAAAATCACTAATTTCCTTGTCAGTGAATTCTGCCAGCTCTTCATCTAGAGAAACCACTGAAACCTCTTCACCTGAAACGAACATTGTAAAATAAATAGTCATAATAATGAAACAAATCTTCATATTCTTCAAAGTATACGGAGCATAAGTACCTGGAAGTTCAATGCCAGTCTTATCTGAACCAAGAACAATCTTGCTCTTGAAGGCACCATGGAACATGGCATTTACTTGTTCAGCCACAGATGGGATTTCTGCGTGTTAAAATCATTCACTTAAATATCAAGTCAACAAAAGAAAACAAGTCAACAGCAAGCCAAGAGACCCTCGCCTCCAGTGACTTCCAGCATGAAAACAGCACGAGGCCTGTTAAATGGATCAGGCATGAGAACCTCGTTCAGCTGCAAAAGCAAAAACAGAATTTATCAAAACCAACCATTTCCACATGACAAAATTGTAACTATAAAAATTTAAGTCTGCACTACATATTATTCCAAATGACCTTCGATGAACTAGCAGCTGAAAGAGCATCTGATGGCGCAAAACCAAGCAAGACCGACACAGCAGCACCAACTTCTCGAAGTGACATGGACTGTAAAAGCAGAAATACAATCATTCCAACACGCGCTCGTACTTAATGAATAGAAGCAGTAACAAAATCATTGTTCAACATATAAGTAGACCATCAACGAAACACAACAGATGTGTGAAAGGTGATGGATCGACTCACTTTAAGATATCATGACTCGTACAATTGCGCAAATTGAAATGCAGTTTAAACACTCATCGTTGCGATTTTTCTAGTTCAATTGAGAAATTTCTAATGCCAATTTAAATCATCTCAGGTAACAGCTACGGACACTGAGTAACTTCCCTAGGATTTCTATTAACCGATAAAATCCAATAAATTACACATCAAAATTCTGCGTCGGTCAGCTTGAATTGAAGAAGCGTATAACTTAAGCATTGAAATTGCAAAAACCTGGACGACATCTTTTGGTGATGGAGTGCGCAGATATTGACGAGTCTGGCTATCGATGAAAAAAACCGAGCCAGCAGTCTTAGCCTGGAAGGGACAGGTTAATCAAATCAATCAAACAGTTACAAATTAGCGGATCATATCGAAAATAGATTGGTTTGAAGATATGTGTGTTGAGAAATATACGAAGATAGAGAGGCATGTACCTTAGCTAGTGAGAAGAGAAGAGAGAAGATGACGAACTGATGCAAAACGCTGCGTATTTGGAAATCCATTTGTCCAGACTCCAGAGAGAGAAAAGGGGAGATCTGTGGTATCAGGAAAGGAGAGAGGACGCCTCGAAATTTCATTAATCACTTTGACCCGCACTCCGCTGCGGGTCATGTATTTTTATTTCCAAAAAATAAAAAATGAACAACCAAGCTTTTTTTTATATGTAAGTTAAAAGTTTTATTTAATTAAATTAAATAAATTAAAATATCTACATAAATAAATGATTAATCATAAAAAAATAAAAATAAAAATGAAAAATTGAAATATAAATATAGATCAAATGAATTTATTCATTAAAATTATTTTTTATTCAATCAAATGATAATAGAAATATATATACATAAAATTAATTAAATAAAAAAATATATTATTCAATAATACACAGCAGTAGAAGTATTATCTAAAAATAATTTTTTTATTTTTAAAAATAAATTTCATTTATATAAAACATTAAACAAATAATACATAAATAAGAATAATTTGCTTAAATATTACATACACATAAAATAATTTTAATAAATAAATAAATAAATCACATAAAATGTATATTAATTGAAATATAATTTAAATAACATTTAAATAACATTTTATTTTATAAGAAAAAACAAGTTGAGTGTAACCAGGTCTAATAAGTTAAACAAAGACACCTGCAATATTAAAAAATTTCACAAGTTTAGGTGTTTATTTTTTAAAAATAAAAAGAAAAGAAAAAAAAATAATGGGATGGATGATATGTCATCAACTCTAATTTAAAAAAAAATACTTTAAA